AAAGGCACTTTCCCTTGCCTTAATTGCTCACATTGTAGCAGTGTGATCAAGGGGGAATATTTCGTTCACCCCCGATCTGGTAAAAAGTTTTTTGTGAAGGACTTCTACACTTGTAACTCAGATTTTGTTGTGTACATACTCAAGTGTCCGTGTGGTCTCCTGTATGTGGGGGAGACTATTCGGCCGGTCAAAGAACGGATAGGGGAACATAAGAGGAGCATTAGGGCAGCATTACAGCATGATGCTGTTGAAGCACCAGTACCAAGACATTTTAAAACTTGTGGCCATAATGTGAACCAATTAAGGTTCCAAGTTATAGATAGAATTCCACCACTACGCAGAGGTGGAGACAGACAGAAACTCTTACTCCAAAGGGAAACCAAATGGATCAGTACCTTGGAAACGTTGTCACCATTAGGTCTCAATGAGGACTATGACCTGAAACATTTTCTGTAATATGGTTCACTATTCGCATTATTGGCTCATGTTGGTTTTCTTTACCCCCTTTTGCGCTCCTTACAGTTTCCTCTCTAGACCATTATTGGTCCGTCGCTCTGGATCGCTGTCCTATGACCCTTCTGGGTCCGCCACCTGTGTATACAGCAGGGTCCCTCACATGCACAGCCCAGGATCACTGAGAGTTATTACATTACCGGTGAGTTACATGTGCAGAGTGTCATATATCACTAAATTTTCTAATTTTTCATATTTTTTTACTTTTTAATTTTTTCATTATTTTTTCAATTGTTTATATTTTTTTCTCCATTTCTCTAATTATATATTTTTTCTTATTGTCTCTTTAAATCATTTTTGATACAAGATGTATATTCTATTTACAATTATTTATATATATATGTTTATAGATTCCTTCACATTGGCAGCCAAGATATCTTAATATCTTTATATTTATATATTTATATATTTATATATTGTCCCCAGTAGGAGTACACCTTTCTATGCTGTTCTTTACTTTGGCACTGTTTAGTCATTAATACTTTCCAGCAGTATGAGGATACAATATTTATGATATATCATTTAATCTATTTTATGATTTTTTTCCCCAGGTGGGGTTACCTCCTATCTAGCCCACTGATCATTAAATCTTTTGTTAACTATTAACTATCTATCATCCATGGTCTGTCACAGTCTAATACTTAAAAATATATATAATCATATCATGGTTATTAACAATATTATCTTGGGGTCCTCCTCATCACGGATTTTACCAATTAAACATTGACTTTTCATTTACACCCCTTGTTCGTGTGCAGTTTGATATGGACAATAAAGATACATTTGAATATGATGACGTAATCACGCACGTACACAGTCGTCGAAACCCGGAAGTGGGGGAGTTCCACAGGTCACGGCGAGATTTTGCCGCCAAAGATAGGATATATAAATGATTTTATTTCTCCAACAGATTACAGGGGCCTTCGAAGGGACATGGATGTCCCGAGCGCGCAGCCCAAGTACTGTGACGACACCTTGAGGGAGACATACGAGGATCACATCTGACACCTTCATTGAGTCCTCTTTTCAACGCACAGCAGGAATTCAGCAGGTTTAAAAACCCTCCAATAGATACTTTTCCATTCTTCACAGAGTCTTCATTTTTTCCAGTTGCTACTAAGGCTACAATCCATCTGGATATCCAACTTGGTGAGATCCACCTATTTATTATCTAAAAGTGCACTATTCTCTGGACTATTGTACATCAGGACATTTATTATCTGTATATTTTTTACATATTTTTTCAATTTTTTCATCATTTTTGTAAATTTTTTTCAGTTTTTCTTCTTTTTTCTCTTTTTTTCTTTTTTCTTTTTTCTATGTACATAGAACACCACAGATTCGACTATTATCCATATGGATAGGTTCTCCTTAGTTTTGCAAACAGAAATACTTACAACTGTGTTTATACATTAATTATTTATTTATATAACACCTATGGAGGTTATTTGTGTAAATAGCGATTGACTATATGATGTAATATATTCTTTTTATCAAATCATAATCTCACATATTAAGTTATATAACTATACATTTAAGAATTGAACATAATAAACTCAATTATAGCACTTCTTTACCTACGGTTGATTATTTTACAACATTGAGTGCGGTATTCATATATATTTTTTGTATGATATTTTTGGGGCTTTTGTAGGGATAACCTCGAATACCAGCACCACCTATGTGATTGAGTGCCAGCATAAATTATCTTTTTGTAAAGTTGTTCAAGTGACTATAGTGTCCCTTTAATTACTAAGTTTCCCCTTAATATGAGTAAAACCTGGTGACCTTTCTCTCTTAACTAGCAGATATGGTTAGGTGATTACCCTTGCTTTATTTGCCTTGGGTGGCAGAGTATCATTTGACCTGTCCCAAGGTTAATATTCTTTTCAGTTTCTATTGAACATATACATTGTGCATACTTACCAATACCTGACATTCCCAATAAAAAATATATATATATATATGCAAGCATCATGCATGTTTGTTGATGACGGAATGACGCCATGGAACCAGCATCACATTATTGATGCATGGGTTGTTCATAATAAAAGGGCGCCATAGGTCAGACAATAAAGCCAGTATGATGCGGAGTGGGGAGCACAGAGCAGGAATGTACAGTTTGTTTGTTTGCTGTTAACCTGCTTCAATGATCCAGTTGTTTGTTCAACAAATACCTTCCAGTCCCAAGATTACCATCAATAGTAGATACCCATTTCTGCTTTTTCCCAGAACTACTGAAATGCTGAAAGCCACTTAAATTTACACCTAACAAAAACTCTGAGAACCTTACAAACATGTCCTCATTAGACCTGAGCATAAAACTGCTTGTTATAGCACAAAAGACTTGTTATAGGCTAAACAAGTAATGAATTAGTTGTTCGGTCTATGTAATGTCCTAGCAACTACTGTTAACAAAATGTAAATAAAAACAACAACAAAGATGACTTGCCTTCTCCTCCTTATTAAAGTTGACAAAACAGGTATAACCATACCTGAGATAAGAGTATTTATTTACGTGAATACCTAAAATATCATTAACAATTTAAATCATGAGGCTTATTATTATCATTTCAGCACTAGGGTTGAATAAGTGCATATGTCACAAAAATAGATTGTTTCCATTAAAACACAGAATTAAGACTTAAACTGAAACTCGCCATCCTTCTACACACAGAAGTCCAATATTATATTTTTATTTTGTTGTAATGAGATAGGATAGCTTGTTGTCTTTATATCTTGTCTACTTTATAATTTGTATAGTTTTTCTAGGTGTGTGTATTGCACCAAATGGTACACTCTATTTTCTTTTTTTAAATATTCAGATATGCCTCAGTGAGTTGCAGAAAGGTTCACAAATCCGGTGCTATGTGTATAACATTTTAAAAAAATATATAAAAAACTAAAATTGTGAACTGATCTGTGTTTTCCCATTTACTCCGTACCTTTGCATTGATTTACTGCAGACATTTCTATATATATATTTTTTTTCTTGACTCAAAAGTACATCCCAAGACTTCTCCATTATAATTGCTGAATTTGGAATGTGTGTTTTATTTATTACTAGTGATATTGTTTAGATTTTTATTGTACAAATGTCTTTATTTAGTTTTTTTTTTGTCCCAAATATCCACTCTTTCACTGCGGCTGTACCAAAGAGCTCACAATCTTTTTTCCAATCCGATGGGTTGGTGCAATATAGATCAGAATATGGCTTTTGTTAATTCTTGGAATAATTGTTTCCGCCCATGCACCTGGTGATCGTAGTAATAAAAGGGGGGAAGGGTTGCTGTATCGTTGCAGGTTCCTTAGCAGTCACTGTGACATGTCACCATGACTAGAACAATTGTGTGTTCTCTGTCTTAGCAATGCTTTAGGAATTTAAACTCATTTCCTTAAAAGCAACCAGACATTCCATGCAAACTAATAAAAAGAATACAACGTATCCTTACACTGGTCAGTGGTGAATTTCTAAAGCTGCATGAACTATCACTGCGATAGATAGATAGATAGATAGATAGATCATCCAAATCCATTTATCTGAAAACATATAGTATCACATATATTTCTGCACAAATGATTTACAAATGTTGATATTATACAAAATGCTGAGTAAAAAACAGTCTGTAAATTTCCTATAAACTCACATAACTATTGAATAATGAATATTTTATTGGAAAGCATATCTATAAGGAAAGAAGATAAAAAAATAAATACAAATATAAAAAAATATACAGTGTAACACTGTAGAAAAAAAAATGTAGGAATTAGGTAATCATTGCACTCACAGTTTACCTAATTCCCATATAATTTTATTTGTACAGTGTTACTCTATATACATTCTTTATATTTGTAGCTATTTGGTGTTTTATGGAGAGAAAAGCACAAATAAGGGTGCGCCTAATTTGGTGTTTTATGTTTTATGAGTGGAGTCTTGTATACCTCCAATTTAATAAGGGGTAATTATGATACTTTATATATATTTTTTTTTTCCTTCACTGGTGGTGCTTAATTTGGGGTTCTTTGGTCTATAAGGAAAGACATTTTAAAAAAAATTCAGTGTTAACCACACAAACACATCAGGTATCCCAATTTTTAACAGATGCACAGATGCGTATGTGTTATGTACATATTAATACATGCAATATTTATAAATGTGCCTGTCATTCCCTCTCCAACCCTTACTGGGACATCTGAGGATATCCTATCATGCCTTAGCCCTGTGCCCCACTAGGCACTGTCTAAATAGTTTAGTAACATGAAACCATAGACTGTGGCACATTGATAATGTTACAGGAAGTGATGATGGTGTGACAGCACCAGACGTCTCTCAGCCTGCACTACGTGATGAACGTGCTACACAATTACATATTTGGCAGAAATAATTAATCCAGCCCCCTTCCTTCCTATTCACATCATGATATTGTACAGCCCCTTCCTCCTAAGCTGTACTATAAGACTCTACTGTTGCTTACTGCATATACAGTCTTTTTTATTGGTATACCCACCTCCACCCCTTTTTACCATAAGATTCTAAGCAGATAAACTATTTCATTGCTAGTACACTATTTACCTTGCCTCCCCAGCTCCCCCCTTCCTCCTTCCAGGTCCTTGCACAGCCCCCCCTACTGATGAGCAAAGCTTCTCCCTCCAATACTGCAGAGCCTTCAGACATTAGCCAATCCAAAGACAGGCAGTGGGCTGGTTTTAATATGTCACTGTCCCAGGCAAAAAAAAAAACCTCCTGCATCTTTTAGTGTGTAGGGCAGGGATCTGGGAGACATAACTGCCTTATAGCAACTGACTTGTCTGCTGATTGAGTGCTGCAGCCCTTGAACGGGAACCTTGCAATTCTGTTTTTGTTTCTTTGCACTTGAGAACATTTGCTTATTGGGTTTGACTGGTCAATATTCAGGATGATAGCTGCCCAGCTCCTGGCCTATTACTTCACCGAATTGAAAGATGATCAGGTCAAAAAGGTGAGTGATGACTGTCCCTTTAATGTACAGCAATGGGGGGTACAGGGAGCCCCTAAGATGGGGTGCAGTAGGCATCATTCCATAGGCCCCCCTTTTTTAAATAAAATGTATCACAGCCAGCCGGAGAGGATGGAGTCTGCTGGATTTATGAGTGGGGATGCAAGAATTAAGGACCCCCAAAGAAGGAGAGGAGGGTAGTTCTGCAATGTCCTTGAAAACAGGATGCAGATGACATTCTGCCTCAGAGTGTGACTCAGTTTAGGCCTTTCTCACTATAGTACGCAGGCATCATAGAAATGCTCATATATATATAACACACATATACATATAAATACATTCATGTATCGAATTAACCCGTTGAGTGTCGAATGGTCGCAGAATAATTTGGAACCCCCACACCCTTCCGGCTGGAACGCCGGCTAACTGTAACAATTACCTGCCGTAAAAATAGCTCAATCCGGGAGCCATGCCAATCTAAACGAAATACATTTCATCCTCTGTATGAAATGTTACCCCGGTGTGTGCTATATACATGTATGTGCCCTTAACTGCAGTTTAATCTTATGCAAATGACTGGAAGTTGTACTGTTTTCGTTAAAAAATAATTTATATATTAATTCTTCTTGGATAGTGTTGGTATTTGATTAAATCTATCGGCCTCTATCTTTTTATACCCAAAATAAACTGAGTATATTTATGTGTGTTAGAATTGTTAAATTTCACCTAGGCCTATGGGTGGGTGTGTGTAGGCACTGAGAGATTATGCAATACATACTGAGACTCTTTGCTCATCATCAATTTTCTATAAATAATATACCAGATATTTATAGATATTATTAAATATGCTACTTGTGTATCTAATCTTATCACCAATGATTGGATACATTATTCTTTATGTGTTCCCTGTTAATCCTCATCCTTCATACATACAGCATGATGGATTTATTTCCAAGGACATACTTTGCATTGAGGGAAGGCATGTCTGATGCACCAGCTCTGCCCATTCAGCATCACTGGTTATCTTTAAACAATTCCCCAAATGCCCTCAATGTGGTGATTCATCAGCATCTAGGTTATTGGGACCTTGAGGCATGTGACCTTTGCTGCATCATATCCTGTATCCTCTCAAGGGAGGTCAAACCTACATGCCTATCTGCCATGTGTAAAGATGTATTTGTGCAAATATAAAAATATATATTTAAAATCTTATGCTACCTGCTGCCTGCGGTAAATTAAGTTATCTTTATTGAATTAGCAGATTATACCGGCTTTGTGACCTTGAGTGAATTATTGTATCTATGCTCTGCAGGTAAAATAATAATAAAAAAACAAATTTTTCACTACAATAATATTTTTTAAATGTAAGGATGCTGAGGACTCCAGACATTAATTAAGCGCACTCTTGATGTATAGTTTATATGAAGTCTAATAAAATATCATAATTTATCAAAATTTACATCATATACATTATATTGTAGTCTGTTTTAGCCAGAACAAGGTTATAATTGCAGTGCACCTATTATGCCAAATATAACAAAATACAATATCGCATATATATTATTTTAGAAAATGCACAGATGAGAAGTATACATCTGTATACCTCTTTATGTCATTTTTCCATTGGCATAGCAGTAAAGTCTACAATTTGCATACCATTAGTGGCTATGCATACACTGCCACCAAGTGATGGGCCAGCATCCCACAACTCCTGTTATACTCCTGCATTCTAGGAATTTTTGGAATGTGGTACACATAGTTTATTGGCCGGTGTATATCCAGCTGCAGATTTTAATGAATGCATTTAATTTGTGTTAATCCCAATCAAATATAAAAAACTACTTATTTTTAACTGGGATTGATTACTGTATGTAGGAAGGACCATGAATCCCCTATCTGAGAACCTATTTTAGTCTATTACAAGTAAATATATATATTTTCATTATTACATTTGCAGCTTGTGTATCAACTAAGGGTATATCTATCTGGTAAATTGACTTGGCAATAGATGATCAACTATTGTCAAGGGGTTTTATATACCTCTCAACAGTACTGGATTCTGCAGTATAGTCCCTCATTTGAGGTCCCTGACTCGTCATCCATGGTTTGCTCTATGGTGTCCTGCTTTTGGGGAAATTCCAGACATGGACTTACCCGAGATGGTATAGTCCATGCATTGCAGACTGGCATGTCCCTCCCACCCCCCACCTTTCCTCATTCTTACTTTCCAAAGTATTGCAATATTATTTTCAATGAATAAATAAATGAGACAGCAACCTACTTGCAAAATTTATCCTCAAATAATAGAGTTGGAATAAAAATGTGGCCATCACTATACCGCCAAACAGCTCCAATAAAACAATAATGAAACATAGACACTATTTACTATATAGATGGCTTACAGAATTTGGCCACAACAACAGATCTGGAAAAAGGCCACTAGGTTGTTGTGGGGTAATAGTGTGTATTACCAAATGGAGAATGGGGGGGCTACTAGAGGAAAATAAATAGGAAGTAAAAGGGTATTGAAAATAGAAATTAATACAATGGAATGGGTGTGAGGGGACAAAGCATTTTTTGAGAACTATAGCTTCTTGTTGAGATTTGACACTTGGTCTATAATCTCTTGCCTCTCTTTGCCATTGCAATGTTCCCATAATGTTGATATAGCTACAATGTTTATTGTATCTTCCATTTAACATATTTTTAGAATACAACCTATTGTTCCTGCACCAATTTGTAATTGTCTCATTTATTGTTAAATATTTCCCCCTGTATAATATTGTAAAGCGCTGTGCATAATAATAATGCTTCGGGTAGCATCATTTACAAATTGTTCTGTAGAATGTTGTGTATCCCTATGGTCCATTTTTACCAGTCTGGTGGTAAAATATCTGCTGGGTGGTGAACCTATCTAAAAATAGCTGATGGTGTGTTGTACATGTCAGAGGGCATTCTATAATGTACTGTAACTATGGTTACAGCGGAGGTGTCAAGTGTATAAAGATTCCTTGGTGAGTGCCGGTTACATGGTAAATCATCAACCCCCTACCGCACACACATACACTAACAAAACAATGATCCAGCTTGTTAGTCCTATGCTTTTATTACAGCTTTGTGTGACCTGATCTTTTATTTATTTATTTAGTTAATTGCTTTATTTTTGTTTGTTTTTTAATTTAGATAATATTCCAGTTTCCAATTCACCATAAATTTTCCCTTTAATGAATAATGATGAGTATATCTTTTTCAGGTATAATATTATAAATTATAATGAGAGGTTCTTAGATTAAAAGGTTAGTCTTGGTTTAATTTTGACCCTATATTTATAATACTTTATACAAATAATACATAAAAATAAATATTAAAATACATTTTAAAAATGAAGAATATAAAAAGTTATCTTTCAAATTTCCCTCCATGCACTGCTTAGTGGATCTATCTGCTGCTGCAGAGACCTCTCCTACCCCAATAGGAGACATTTTTTTTCTGGAGTGCAGTAGGAGTTTATGGGATAAGTAGTTTTTCTGTAGAGAGCAGTTTATCATATAGGATAGTTGGAACTGCTCAATACAATAATAGCAGGCATAGCGTGGTTGATGTAATATTATGCTAAGTGAACCAGGCTGTGTTTTGTTATTAAAGGGAACGTTTGTTTTTTTCGGGACTATCAGTTCCGTTGCTCACTGGGACTGCTGTCCACCTCCCTTGATATAAGAAAGTTCAGTTAAATAAAGATTACTTAACTTGCCAAGACAGCTCTGCTGCAGCATGCCTGCTGAGTCTTTAGTAGTCTCGTCCAGTCAAATGCATCTATAAGAGAAGCGTTAAAGATAAGATACACATGCGCAGCAAACCATAGCACCCCTCCGATCAAATGCTGCTATGAGAATTTGATTGAAGAACCAAGTTTGACTCGGTTCTGGTAGAGTAAGCACCACTACTGACTGTCAAAAAGACAGCCATTAGAGGTGTATTTAATCCTTAAATGTAAAAATTGCAGTTTCTACAAGTGTTTTACATTGAATGGTTAAAATGACAGGGCCACTGTTCCCAGGCCACTTCCTTGAGATGAAGTGTTGTGGGTGCCTTTAGTGGTCCTTTAACTGATCCATAGGCTGAGCTTGCAGAGTCCACGGCTCAACTCTCTCTCTTTTGGGAAGAGGAGCATCTTTGTTGCGTTTGTGAAGTGTAAATACAGTGCATACATTACAAATGAAAATGATACTGTAACAATGGGAATGGTGGAAAGGCGCGGGGGGTGAATTGCTCCCAGGGCCACTAACACTGTGAGCTACAAACTCACACCATTTTTTTCAGATCTGAAGATGTTTCTGTTGTCACAGTTCTGTATAAATTATACAGGCAGCAGGATTTGTGCAGTTTTTTAGCTAGGCTAGAAATATTTTTGTGCTTAGCATGGTGGCTCCAAATTCAATGATCAGCCAGATCTGGACTGGCCCATTGAGATATTTGCTAGTGGAATACATTATCTGAAGCTGACCAGACTTCCAGTCTATAATGAATATGTGTGATGTTCCTGGTAGGATTTATAAGTGATTTAAAGGTGAAATGAGACAGTTCTCATGACATTTGAAACACGTCATTTGTCATTGATAGCAGTGTAGTTGAAGGAAACAAATTCTCTGTCTGTACAGATTTCTTTGAATGCTTTGTCATGCTATGCAAGTCATGCTGATAGATATTACAGAACTATATGAAGTCACAAGTCTTGTAGCCTCCATCTGTCTAATTCACATATTGCGTGTTCTGCATGAGTGGGACCATTCACATAGAGATCTTTGAGTTCCTTTTATTAAAAGGCAATTTGTTTGTATTAGTCACACAGTTGACATCCATCCCATGTTGGCAACCTGGAATTAAGATTTCTGATGGTTTGTCTTAAAGCAGTAGAGATTTTTTACAAACCGCAGTCGCTATAAACACAAAGAAATTACAGTGTATTCAGGGTTCTCTAAGGGCCTTGCATGTAGCAACAATCT